TCTGAAAAGAAGTGAAATCCCGTGGCATCGTAAGGCCTAGTCACGTAATTGCGGGGAAATCATCACTCGGGTGGATACAATTCTTATTACAAGAGCTGATTCCTTTAAGGCATATCAAAAAGGATTAGAACATAGAATTACAAACCGGAACTTAAAGAAGAATATGGTGATGAAAGTAAAAGAGCAACTCAATAAGGCATATATAATCCCTCTTGAAGCCTTTAGACGTTTTTATTATCAAGGAAGCTATAGTGAAAGCAGGCATTGCTAAAATGACATGCGACGTGAACCAAAGCGTATTATAATCTGATTTAAGCTTAGAACCCCCAGCAGAGCAGAAACAAGACAGACACATCTAAATAGATGACCGTTGCATTTAATTTATATGTTTAGCCTATACCCTTGATCGAGATTACTTTCGCCTATTTGCGGCAGATATGCCGGTCGACTCAAAGATGATATGGTTTAAGTAAATGGAGATAATCTAATTTTCGTACTTTGTTCTGTCTAACTCTGCGTCTAGACCGGCGAGTGCATACTGGTGTCTAGCGCGCTGCCCAACAAGCTGTCGCGACCGACGGCGATTAGCCTCTAGGAGGCTGGGCCAAGGCGTGGCGGCCAATTGAGCCAGCTCGGCGGCTGGACCAACCACGACCACTCCGGCTGTAGCAGTCGTGGATGGAGAGGAAGAGGCCGAAGAAGATGAGGAGAGAGGAGCAGGTGTGGGCCCAGAAGGTGGAGTGCTCGAACGGCTCGTTGGAACGGCACCGTTGGAAAGCCCGACGCCTGAACTGCGGCATTTTTGCTCGGCACCGGTGAGATCTGGATTTACATATTAGAATTAGGTGGGTTTGAGAATTTAGTTAGTTTCAACTGAGTGACCAAATGTAATATATTTTGAAGTGAAACAGGATAAAAATGACTATAAAGAATATCTTAATAAAGTTGTGTTTTCAGCCCATCCACCAATCTTTCTAAAGGAAATGCAAAATCTGGAAACGCGCTGAGTCTTTTTTGTCATGTAACTTGGCTGAGATCAAGAGAGATCAATTCGCTGTAAGCTCTAAATCAGCATACTATTATTTTGTTTGTAATTAGTCAATTATAAAAGCAAATAAAAGATTGCTTCCTTGAAAATCCCACCACAGAAATTTGGTATTGGAAGGGCTTGTAATCCAAGGGCAC